ACACACTACACACTCATACACACTGTGACTATACCTGACATTGACAGGCAGAGCAGAAACGTGTCAAAATCATAGAAGGTGTGGCCAGGGACAGTGACTTAAGCCCCAGCAGTCGGGTTATTTCCGTGAGTTTCAAAGCATTTATTCATAACGTGAGTAAGCAATGGCATAGTATCATCAGACACAGTGGTGATGGAAGGAAAAGATCCCACATTACCATTCATGAAGATCAAGAGAATAGCTGATCCTCTGTATAGATTATCACTATGGTACAAGGTTTCCCCTCCATGCACATGTTTTTTTTTTTTTTTTTTACTCACCATAGCTGTTTTAAGGAAAAGTATCATATATTCTTTTTCCTGCAGAAATCTTAGGTATCATGATTAGCTAAAACAGCCATACCTCTTCCTCTGTAGAAAATTCATTAAGACTCCATTGTTTTCCTTCATTATATTTTCATGCCCAAATACCTGCCATGTTTTTTGTTTTCATTGTCCAAATACAGTCCAAGATCCTCTTGCACACACAACTGGCTAACCAGACAGGCAAAGCAGCCTTTGCAACCCTATATCCCAACCTCTGTCCCCAGGCCTCCCTTCAGAAAACCCAAAATACTGACAGTCGCACAATAGTAAGAACATTTTGCTATCATCAGTAACCAGGAATAAAAACAGTATTTACAGAACAGGAAAATCATTTTAAATATTTTTCAATGTGAAGATTAGTATTTAAACAATAGAAGAGTGATTCCATCTAGCCCATCTTAAATGTATATGTTTTAAAATCCCTATTTAACCCCTTCCCCAACAATTTTTTTGTTAAAAACGTTTCTTTTTCAGACTAATTTTTTTATTTTGGTTCTATATAGTATTTTTGATGCTGGTTATGAAAACAGTTTGTAACTCGTCTTCCTATAAACCATATTTTTTTACCATATTTTCTTAGTATACTCGTCGACGACTGAAAAAGAACATTTTGTGAAAACGAGTATACACGTTTCTGCCGGGGAAGGGGTTAAAGCAGACAGTGTGCCCATTAACACTATTCAGTATGGCTCCGGAGGCTCCTAAAAGTATCACCTTGAATTCAATAGTTACTACCACAACCTTCCTCAATGTAAATGCTTCTTAACTAGTCACTGTCCTATAATACTCAAGTCACTGCCCTACATGGCTATTTCAATAAACATCAGCTCATTTCAATAAACACTTGCTCGTGATTTTCATATAGCCTTTACTAGTATTTTAACCATTCACAGAAGGATTGTGGGTTCTCTCTCTTCACATAGCACATAGTACACATAAACTATGTATTTATACATTAGTAAACTATAACTTAGAAAGGAGAATTCACATTTTGCAACATGTTAGGAATATGGTACATAAAATATTTTACACCATTGTCTATGGCACCGATCTAGCTCTTTTTTAAAAAAATATATTTTATTGATTTTCCACAGAGAGGAAGGGAGAGGAACAGAGAGTTAGAAACATTGATGAGAGAAACACCAATCAGCTGCCTCCTGCACACTCCCCACTGGGTATGTGCCCGCAACCAAGGCACATGCCCCTGACCGGAATCGAACCTGGGACCCTTGAGTCCGCAGGCCAACGTTCTATCCACTGAGCCAAACCTGTCAGGGCCGATCTAGCTTTTTCAAAAGAACAAAGCATGAGTGCTTCTAAATGCTATCTCAATTAGCATACTATGTGAATCCATTAAAATTCCTTGATTTGATAGATTTATACTAAGAGATAAAATACTGATTTTCTAATGCAAAATTGTCATGGTCTTCTAAAAATATTGAACTATGGCCATTTGAATTTATATTGTCATTTTAACTAAACAGCAAATGCAAGAGTTTCAATTAGAAACTGATGTATAAATAGGATATAGTGATATATGTACTAAATCTTTTGTTTTCTGAAAAATAAAAGGAAAAGCATGCCTTAAAAAATTAAAAATTTTTTAAACATTAAATGAAAGCTCTATTTTCACACATAAATAGTAGCATGTTATTCTCACAGAATTACTCAGATGATAGATTTTTAGTGCCTCTAACTCTGTCGGTGGCCAATCTAGGAGTGGCACAAGGCAGGAGGAAAACAAGATCATTAAGCAGTTGTAAGGAGTCTCAGGCCCATTCAATGTCTCCTATTCTTTTAGGCTTTTTGGTCACTTCAGTTTATCTGTATATCTAAGATTAGTAAAATGGGCTCTGATGTGGTAAAATTTATATCTGTTTTATTTATTTCTGACAGCTTTACTGAAACATATGGATGTGTACTAAACCAAGTTCTGGAAAAAACTCAAAGCTATCCATGGTTACTATACTGTCTCTGGAAAGTCAGGGTCACTAGCATACACTTCAACTTCAATGTATATTTCAACTAAACTCCTACATGTATATTCTGTCCTTCCTCCTTTAATAGGCAGTAAATCACAAACAATTAAATTGATGTTCCCATTCTGAATAGTTTGCAACAGCTGGAAAAACACATAAACATTAAGACTGGGTACCCAAACTATTGTTTCTCAGTAGGAAGATATTTTCATTTTCACACATGGTGAGGGAGAACACAGATGATCAACTCCAATCAATCAGATCTCTTTTCATTTCCTGACATTCTTTTCCCCAAAATGCCTTTTAAATCAGATGCTAGAGGCAAATCAATACCAAATACTCAAAGATGCTCCCTAATAAGGTTTCCAATACAAAGGGGGGAATTTGGATATTTATAACATCATTCACAGGCCATACAAAATTATCAACTTAAAAATTAGCCTGCTATATTTGGTCAAATATTTAATTAAGTCACCCATAATGCCTTGGCAGGGCCAGACCAAATGATTTCTCTGGCCTTATACAGCCATGGCCTGGATGTTCCCTACCCCTAACTTAGAGGATAGGAAGGCTCACTTTAAAAAGAGGTCATGTATGAGCTGATTTTTTAAAACAATATATTAAGTCACCAGTGGATAAGAATGGACACTAAAAGTAGAAGAAACAACATGTGCAAGAGCGCAGATGCAGGAAGGAACTCAAGGAATGTTCTAGGAATGAAAAATAGTTTAGGACAGATGGAGTATGGGGAGGAAATGGCAGATGATAGAACAGGAAAAGCAGGTTGAAGGCAAATAATGAAGGGTGTCATACTATAAATCATGCTAAGAAATTTGAATACCTCTTGTAAGCTGTGGAGAGCTACAAATTATTTTTAAGTAGGAAATGACATGACTAAATCTGTGTTTTTGGAAAAGAAAACTGATGACAAGTAGAGGATTAGAGGGAGTTTAAGGATGAGGAGAATCAGTTGGGAGCTTTAACTACTATCCTAAATGGAACCTGAGCCATGAGGTAGCAAATATAGGGAAGAGAAGATGCCTTTGAAAGATATTTCAGAGACAGGAGAAAGACCCAGCAGCCTTGATAACTGACTAAACATGGGATGTGAGAGTGATAGAAACTGTGTGGGAGGATTGGGTTCAGTGCCAAGAATTCTACTTTGGGGTCCTAGATTAATGGCAAATATGTTAATTAAAGAAAAGCAGAAGATTCGACTGGAGAGGAATCTTTTTTATAAAGACACCCGTGGAATATCCAGTGGGAGATTCCCAGGAGGCAGATAAAAATGACAGATCTGAATGTTATGTTGAGGGACAGGTCATGGGAGCAGGAGATAAGAGACCCGAGGAGTCCTTACAGCACAGGGTAGAGGGAGAGGGACAGCCCAAGACATGAAAGTGAATGTGAACACAGGGCATTTGGGGAAAAGATGAAGATGGAGAAGAGAAAAAGCTAACAAATGGCAAAATCACAAGGGTATTGATATTTTAGAGGCAAAAGAAAGAAGTAGCATCAAATCAGAGCAACCCTCCTTTCAGATGGGAGAGGGGCAGGGAA